GTGCAAGTCACAGGGGATGCGATGGCTTGGCTTGGGCTCAGAGGTCTGACAACTAGTATCTCTGATGACAGACACGCAAAATTATCAACAAAATAATAGCAAATTGAATCCAACAGCATGTCAAAAAGATCACACACCACAATCAAGTGAGACTTATCTCAGGGATGCAAGGATAGTTCAACATACACAAATCAATAAGTGTCATACACCACATAAACAGAATTAAGGACAAAAACCAGATGATCATCCCAACCGATGAAGAAAAAGCATTTGACAAAATTCATCTTCCATTCATGACAAAACTCCTCAACAAACCAGACACAGAAGGAACATCCCTCAACATAATAAAGGCCATGTATGACAAATCCACAGCTAACATAATACTGAATTGGGGAAAGGTTGAAAAGATTCCCTCTAAGAATTGGAACAAGATAAGGATACCCACTTTCACCACTCTTATTCAATATAGTACTGCAAGTCCTAGCCAGAAAAATCAGGCAAGAGAAAAAAACAAAAGGCATCCAAATTGGAAAAGAAGTAGTCAAATTATCATGGTTGGCTAATGATATGATCTTGTATACAGAAAACCCTCAAGACTCCAACAAAAATCTCTTAGATTCATAAATTAAGTAAAGCTTCAGGATACAATATCAATGTACAAAAATCAGTAGTGTTTCTATACACCAATAAAAAGTTAGCTGAGGATCAAGAATGCAATCCCATTCACAATAGCTGCAAAAATAAAATAAAATACCTAGGAATATACTTAACTAACAAGGTGAAAGATCTCTGCAAGGAAAACTACAAAGGACGGATGAAAGAAATTGCAAACAACATTTAAAAAATGGAAAAACATCTCATGCTAGTGGATCAGAAGAATTAATATTATTAAAATGAACATACCGCCCAAAGCTACAGGTTCGATGCAAACCTTATCAAATTACTGATGTCATTCTTCACAGAATTAGAAGAAAACAATGATAAAGTTCATATGGAACCAAAAAAGAGGCCAAATTGCCGAAGCAATTCTAATCAAAAAGAACAATGGTGGAGGTACACATTGCCTCACTTCAAAACATATTACAAGGCAACCAAAATAGTATGGTAGTAGTATAAAAATGGAGACACAGATAAATGGAACAAAACAGAGAAACGAGAAATAAAGTCACATACTTACAGCCAACTGATCTATGACAAAGATGGCAAGAACACTACACTGGGGAAAAGACAAACTTTTCAATTAATGGTGCTGGGAAAACTGGATTGCCACATGCAGAAGAGTGAAACTGGACTCGTATATGTCACCATATATGAAAATAAACTTAAGATGGATTAAACATTTAAATGCAAGACCAAAAACTATAAAAATACTAGAAGAAAATCTAGGAAAAACTCTTTTAGATATTGGTTTAGGCAAACAATTCATGACTGTAGGGGTGGCCTGCCCCTCCACACCTGTGGGCGTTTCTCGTTAGGTGGAATGAGAGACGTGAGAAAAGAAATAAGACACAAAGTATAGAGAAAGAAAAAGTGGGCCCAGGGGACCGGTGCTCAGCATGCAGAGGACCCATGCCGGCACCGGTCTCTGAGTTCCCTCAGTATTTACTGATCATTATCTTTACCATCTTAGAAAAGGGGAAGTGACAGGATAATAGGATCAATCGTAGGGAGAAGGTCAGCAGTAAGACAGGTGAGTAAAGATCTCTGTGACAGAAGTTTAAGGAAAAATGCTGTGCCTTGATATGCATATGTAAACATCTCCATAAACCTTTTTAGTGCATAAAGAGCAGCATGACGCTAGCAAGTCCCGCCTTTCACCCTAAGGCAGTTTTCTCCTTTCTCAGTAAACGGAACAGACAATCGGGTTTTACACCGAGATGTTGTTCCATTGCCCAGGGATGGGCAGGAGACAGATGCTTTTCTCTATCTCAATTGCCAAGAGGCTTCTTTCCTCTTACACTAGTCCTCCTCAGCACAGACCCTTCAC